GTATAGTGACACATCTTATTTTCCCTTTTAATGTGGTTACGCTTAAATAAATATAGCTGCATAAACAATAGGTTTTACACTTAATATCGTATGAGTCACAAAAGAAATTATGCCTGTAACTGACAGGTACACCTAGTACAAAGCATGTAGATTTCTAGATGAAAATTTTGTGTATAGGCACAAAAGACCTAACTTTTCCAAACTTACTGGATCAGGTATAAGAAAATGAGTATTAAAAAAACCTGTCAAGAAAATCCACATGTGACACAAGCTTGGAGAGCTAATGGAAGACCCACCAGTGAGTTATCTTTTAAAGATCCTATCTCACAGATGGGTTGCTTTTCCAGGGATAAAGGTTTCATCAGCAGAAAATGAGGTACTGGGAACTAGCCTTATATTGTAATCCCTGGACCAGTGCTGTCCAGGCTTTTAATAGCCTGTGGTCGTAGCATAAGGCCAGTCTAGATGCCCCTGCTTTTCTTAAAGCTATGTTAAGTTTATATTGCTGTTTCCACTTTTATATGCAGTGAAAAATATTTTGAGAGTCCTGCAGCAGAAATGGTAGGTTGTGAACATACAGGACTCTGAACAGACTGCTTTGCTAGCTGCATCCAAATGCATCCAAAAAAGCAAAGTTATACCAAGGTAAATAGGTCAGTTCACAGGAGGAGTGTTGCACATTAGAACAGAAAGTGAAATGTAAAAGAAGCAAAACCAAAACAGTTATTTTGGTGACAGGGCTGCAGGTGACCTTTAAAAGTATTGGATTTAGTACAAGTGAAGGTTCACGTTTAGTAAGGCCTCCCTTTGAATCTGCTTAATGAGGTAGAAAATTTTAGGCTTTCTTCCTGCAGTGGTGAAGTTACTTTAATTGAGAAGGTGCCATTTTAAACCCTGTAGGCATGCCAGTCACAGAAGCAGAAGAGAAAAAGCATTTGCTGCTTTTTTTTTTTTCCTTAAACAGATAATGGAGAATCTAGACACTTACCTCAGTGCATACCAAAAAAAAGGAAAAATAGGCAAAAAAAGCATAGCTGTGCTCTTTTCAAAACGATCTCACTTTGACTTTTTACATGCAGATTTGAATACCTCTTCAATTTCGATAACACTTTTGAGATTCATGATGACAGTGAGGTGCTGAAGAGAATGGGAATGTCCTTTGGGCTTGAGGCAGGCAAATGCTCAGCTGAGGACCTAAGAACTGCAAAATCACTGGTGCCAAAAGCTTTAGAAGGCTACATCACGGGTAAGTTAGATGAGACTTTTAAATATTGTTCCTGATCAAATTCATAACATTAGTTAACTGAAGCAAATTTAATTATATTAACCTACATAGGTATGTAACATTTGAAGTTATATGGGAGCTAGTAGGGTTGGTACATAAATGACTTGTTTTACAGTTAATTTTGGAAGGTTTATCATAGTTGTCGTGTAGACTTAATTCACACTGATTTATAATGGCAAACTTCTTAAGTGAGCTGCATTATGAAGAAAACATTTCTTAAATAACTAAATTGACACCAAGAACAGATTTTCATGGGTTAGTATTAATTTTGAATAACTGTGGATGGGTGGAGGAGCAAACTGGAAGAAGGCAGCTCTTCCCAAGTTGAGGAGGAAAAGGGAAGAAAAAGAGCATCTTTTCTGGTTGAGTTGGTTGAGTGTAATCCATGTGTGACCCAGCTGCATTCACACTTTACTTTGCCTGAGGTAGGTGAGCTCTGCTAAGAATTCTCCGTATCTCTGTCCATGTAGACACGCTCAGTGTACTCTCAGTACATGGATGGTAGGCTCTCTTGTGTCCAGCCATTTCCATGCTTACTTAACATGTAAAACAGTGGTACTTAGATAAAACACATGGCCAGTAGGTGCCATCTGAGAACTGAGCTTCTCTAAATAAAGCAAGAGGCTCCAAAGAGTTCCAGGACAGGTGTCCCATGCAGAGGCTTTTACCTCCCCCTAGTCATACTGTTTGAACAGGTCACACTTAGGTAGACTCAAACCTAGACCTCCTTCAGTGTTGCATCACTAGACTAGAGCTGCTAAAATTTGTAATCACTTCCTTTAGTTACTGTCAGACTGCATTCTTCTTGCTCTACCCAAAACTTAAACTTAGCCCAACATTTTCTCAAGTTTCTGGAGGGACTTCATCTGTAAAGGAAGTGTTACCCAATGAATTACTGTAAACAGACCTTCATTTTTGAGGAAAGGGAAAACAAAGCTATTGCCCTGACTTCTCTACTAACTAGGCTTTGGTCTTGTTTAAATTACAGTAGTATAAAACTGTGTCTTTCACACAGGGAGGTTCGAAACTTCAAACATTTGACTTGTTTTTTTTTTAAAGCTTCCAGAAAGTTGATTCCCTTCTGTTGGCAACATTTAATCTTCATATCAGGATCTTTTAAAGGCAGGTTTTACATTAAAAATGCTGTTTTGTTTTGCTAAGAAGAATATAGTTAAGTAGTCAGGACACTGAACTTGTAGTTTTGTATTCTTGATTTTACTGTGTGAGAGAATTAAGAATGAAACAGTTTCTTTAAATTTGTGATGTCAAAACACTGCTGGATATAAATTAGAATTCAGTTACATTCACTAAAATTAGTACATTTTAAATGGCTTAACATTTCAAACTACATCAGATGTGCTTATGTTTGTGTTTTCCTGGTCCCCTTGTCCTGTGGGTTTTAAAACTCACATTTCATATTTTAATTTCGGTCAATTTTGAAATTACACACCAAGTCTTTATAAGGCTGCACTGGTGCCAAAGAGAGAAGTTGAAAGACATCTTGATTTGTTCCTTGCAGGTTCATTCAACTAAAGTTTTTTTACCACATCATTTACCACCAATGTAAGAAAGGGGAAAGGAGCAGAACCCACACCTTTTAATAGTGTTGCAGTCTTCAAGTTACTTAATTGCTCCCATGTATCGAGAAGCAAACTAAAATTTCTATTTCATTTTAAACCTGCATTAATTTATCTTCAGAGATAAATAGGGTTTCTTTACATTTGCAAGAAAACCTGTGTCATTACACTGTTTACTGAGTAAAACCAGCTTTTAAAGATTAAGCGATAGAACTACATGTCTAAATTAGTGATTAGTAGTTCATTTTAGTTTCTTTTGAAAAAAACTCAGTCACACCAATGTACTGCTGGTGGGTTTTTTTACTGGAAGCATTAAAGGCAAAACAACCGTGATGTTCCTGTGCAAGTGAGAAACAAGTAGTACTCTGTTTCAAAGAAACTAAACAGAAAAAAACAGATTCTAAGATTGCTTAGAATCCAAGCAAATCTAAGATTTGCACAACAAAAGAATGTTGTGATGAGGGTTATTTTCCTAGTAGCAGACCAGCAGGCAGAAACCTATCTAGAATTTTAATCATAAGAAATGTATTGATTTTATTTTTTACTCAAAATGAGTTGAGGCAAGTAATGTACTCTTCAGACATGAGTTACATTCAGCTGTTTCAGCCTCTGAAAAAATTAGTCCAGAAGTGTTGTTATTAGAGTATGTACGTTTATTTTAAAGGTTTTTTTCTGTCTGTTGCTTGCTACTTAATTACACAACACAAATCTACAGTTTAGACTGTGAATTGCATAGTAGAGGTTTCTAGTGGCAGTAACTGACAAATAAGGGAAACATTTAAATGTTTTGCACAATACTTGAAAAACTATCATTCACCTGATTACGTACTTTTGGTTAACTGCAACTTCCCATTTTAACCTTGGCAGTCTTTAGACATTGTTTCTTACACTGCAAGAGTAGTGAAATGGAAGGCTGATCACTGTTTTTTAGAATTCATGGTTACTTCCGTAGCTCTCATGATGGCACTTTTAAGTACATTGGCTTCAATCACTACCATACAAGAAAAGCAAATCAAGGTCTCTTATTTATTCACTGAGTAAATTTATTACAATCAAGATTAAAGCTCTCCCACGCTAGCTGACTCCATGAACTCAACTGCTGTAGAAACCAGTCCTGTTCTAAGTAGGTAAGTCATTTCCCGTACAACGTTAGTTTGACCTTAGCCTGGTCATCTTTTTTTCAGATCATTACTGACTTCCAGACACTAACAATAGTTTGTATTGTAATGCTTGCTAATAGGACTGGAGAAACAGTAGGAAGAATCCAAGTCTAAACCAGTTGCTCGATGAAAGAAATTCAAAATTGACAAAAAAACTTGGACCATCTCAGCTTTTAAAAAAAAAAAAGTAACTTCTAGTTGCATTAAACATGCCAAATAATTTTCTTGGAACTGCTGAACTGATGTTGTGTACATCAAACCTTATTAGTGTATTTTCTTTGCAGGAGGATCATGTGTTTTAGCCATTCTTCAAGTGCCCTAATTTGATAAAAGTAGCGTCTTCTAGGTTTCCTATGGGTTTCATGACGTTTTAGAAAAAAAGTGTTGGGGTTTTTTAATACGTATTTTAAGTACTACTTTGGTATGATATTCAGGTGTCTGACTGCCATTGAAATTAGCAGAAGCTAAGGCATATTAACACCATAAAGAAAAATATTATGTATATCTTAAATGATGTTTGTAACACATTTTTCTGTTGCTCAATTGTCATAATTGATGCAGACTTCTAAAACTGACATGCTTTGACCTTACTTTTTCTTGTTTCCCAAAAGGGAGCAAGAGTAGAGGATACAGCAGCTTAACCATAACTTACAGTAAAAGTTAACATTAAAGTGTTGCTTTAGCTAAGCCGGTAATCCAGAAAAAGTGATGGACGTACAACAGACTGCACTACAACCACAATGCTTGCCAGCTTCTTCCTATGGAAGGAGCAATGTTATTTCTAACACGACACTTGCACCAGCTTAAGATGGCATTCCAGCGTCACTATCCTAATTACACATTGCTGCCCATTTCTTCATTGCAACACGGTTACTTTCGTCTGCCCTCTTCATGAGCTGGTTCAGGGTACTAAACTGCAGGCTTTTTATCTGGCAGAGGAGTTCCTGACAATTTAGCATGTAGAACTATCTAGCTAAGGGCTCAAACCAGAACAGTTCAAGTGTAAAGGAGGGGGTGAGATTCCTGGATGAACAGAAATACACCGATAGAGACAAGCATAAACTCTTGTAGAACCATATCCAAAGTAACATCCTGTGCCTACTAAGCCTTGCATATACTACAGGCATATTAAGCATATACTAAGCCTTGCATATACTACTAATGCAAAACCAACTCCTGCCTTTGTCAGTCGAGTCCTCACTCCTAGAAAGGAGACTACAGATATAAAAAGCAGGAAATAAACATTCTGAGGCACTAATAGTTGTGGTAACACCATCCCACTTGGGTGTGCCCCACTAAGGCACTGGGCAGAGAACGTGGCGCAGTTTAGGATCTCTAGATTACACTTCCCTGCATGAAGAAGTGCTCTGCGATCTACCTGCGTAACAAGCCTTGACTGGAAAATGGGCTGGAGTTGGAACTGAAGAGATAAAGAGAACCCATTGAATGAATGACCTTGTTCAGCCATCAACAATAATCCTATGCAGCACTTTTACTTTTGCATTAACTACTAACGGCTATTGAGGGTATTTCTTTAGAGCCTTCTCATGTAAAGTACAAATTTCTACCAAGTATGTCTCCTGCAAGATATGCCTAGTTCATAATAAGGATGCCACTCTTAGATTGGACTGTACCACCTTGGGAAGTTTTTTCCAAGCTGCTTTCCCTGGCTCGTAAGTGTAGCTATTAGTAATCTATCTACTCTGCTAGAAGTAGTAAGACTTCTCATGGTAGGCAGACTTCTATTTTGACAGTCCTTTCCAGACAGGAAATGGCTTCTTAAACTCCCCATGTTCCACAAAATTCCGCTTTTCCCTGGCTCCTCAGAGCCCACGGGAAAACAGAATTTAGAAATATAAGGCAATGAAAGTACAAGGCAGGGATATGCATCTATGAACCTTCATTCTGCCTTACGTGTAAAATCCATACTTTCCTTCACCTTGTTCTTCAAAAAGAAAAGCTAACTAGCTATTATCCCAAAATGTTAATAAAACGCAACGTTACTAGCAGTGACTTGTTATTCTTCTGGAATATTAAGCATGTACACACAGGTACACCCCTTCAAAAGACCAGGAAACAACACTTTATTAATCTAAATGCAGTGCAGTCATTCCAAATGGTTTGGCCGCCTCCTGCAAAGACGGGAAGAGACTGTCAGAACATGTTCTCTGTAAAAAATGAACCTGCATTTAGGGCAATCTTAATGAAAGCCGTCCAGCTATGTCCATATTCAACTGTTGTCATCTGTTCCGTCCTCACAGATCACCCTAAAGCTGCCACTTACTAATGTTTGCAGTCACATTCCAGAGACTCTGCTGGCAGGAACATCAACCTTGCTAGCCTTACCTTGTAACATGTCATTTAAATACCTCGCTGATAACAAGTCTCCACAGCACAAAACAAGGTAGCCTGTGAATCCCAGTGGATGGTGAGCCAATTTACATGGCTGTGACAACCTGCTTAAAACAGTCCCTGTGCTAGGCAGGACACTGTTACATCTCAAGGAGCCAAAGCTTAACAAGAACACTGATGGACAAATGAGAAAGCGTATGTAACAAACACATTTAGTTACTCATCTGCTATTATAGAACAGTTCTAGATAAAATATGAATAGTACAATCCCATTTTACTGCCATTGTGCTGTACAGAACAGAGGTTTGGTTAGGCATAGAAAATAAGGACTGTAACTCCTGATTTAATGCATCCAGCTGGAACCACATGCAAACATCATGAAAAAGAACTACACAGTCCTGATTGATACCTTTATTTTTATTTTAACTTTGTGTTGCGATGGAATTTGGATAGGTCAATAGAAACACCTTATCTAAGAAACAAATTAAAAACAACAACAACAACAAAATCCCATAAGTGTAATTGGGTCACTGGACTTGTTTTGCTGATTCTCTTGGCAGAAATGTCCGTAACTGGAAACAACTGACAGGCGTTATTTGTTAGGGAATTTGAAAACAAGTACTATGAGGGTTGTAAGTAACCCATTCGCATCCCTCAGAGGGCTTTTAACAAATTACCTTAAGGAATTCAGCATTATTGCAAGACCATTTTAATCCTAAAATTTCCTATCCCTAGGGAGGTGACTTACTTACACATCACACGTGCCGTGTACAACAAGCTCTCTCTTTCATACTCTTGGCACAAGACCTTTGACACGGTCTGTTCATGTCCACAGCTGATAGCCGTCTCTATTCAGCGTCAGAATGGGTTAGGAGGCTGTGTTTCAGCCAGCCATGAGACCACCAAGATGAAACTGCCTTTGGCCATCAGAACACACACGACTGAAACGCATTCTGCCTTGGTGGCTTCACTGCAGTATCTCCAGTCCTGACAAGTACAGTTTCATTTATACATTCACCAAGCGCAACAGCAAAGGCACTTAGCGCTGTTGGGGCATTTGATAGGATCAATCTGTAGGAAAAAGTTTCCACGAAGGACTCCAGAACTCTATTTCAGGTACCTGTGACTGCATACGGCTACTAGCCGGGGTCATCTGCAGTGTGAATTGTCTTCAGACAGAGGGAAAAGCTTCATAGAAATAACCACAGTTCTGGGCGTGAGGGAGTGCAAGGCTTGAGTGCATCCACAGTCACTGGGGTGTAATTTCTTCTCGATTAAACAGGACACATCTACAGTATAAAATCAACTTGAGCTACTGGTACCTTCTCTTCTAAACTAAGGAATCCTAACTGCAAAGAGAATGCAAAGTTTAAGATTGTAAAAGGAAGAAAAAAATTAAGTATCATAAATACAATTATGCTTTCTTCTAGATATGTCTGCAGGATTTTCATGGATAAACCAAGGGTTACTTTCAAGTTCCACACAAGCAGTTTCACATTTAGAGGTAGCAGGAGGCACTTCCGATGCTAAATCAAGGTAAATAAAATAATTTTTTATTCAAGGATAGCGATATATGCTTGTGGTACTTTCAGTAACCTCACTATTTCGTACCATTCACATGCAGGAAATGAGATGTTTTCTATTATGGTTGATTTTTGATTGTGAAAAAAAGTCTCTTATTCTGTCTTCCTTGATAATTCTATTTGAAAGGTCAAATCAACATGCTTTGAATTTTGAACATACTAGTTATTTTGTATCTATGTTTCAAAAGACTAGAATCACTTCCAAGCCCTTATTACAAGGACAGAGTTTTCCCGATTAACCTTAAATTCCTGCCTGGGCAGGGACTATAAATAGGTAATTACATGTGGAAAAAAGCCCGATAATACTTCTGAAGAATACAAAACACTGTTTGGTGTCTAAATGCTCTACTGCTTAAGCTCTCATGAAAGAAGTTTAGTCCACACAGTCTAATCATAATTTTAAATTAAAAACCAATCAACCAACCAAAAAACAACCACCAAAAACCCAATCCAAAAAACACCTCAACAACCATACTTTGCTTGGAGGTTACCTGTACGTTAAAAAATGGAAGGAGGGATTATTCCGGACCAGGTTCTTCCTCATGGCATTTAATAGCTTAATTTCATATTGCAAACATTTCTGTGTAGTGACAAAACTGTGATGGATTTATTCTTCTTTAAGCTTTCTTCGGCTTGAGCAATTCTACTAGTTGGTTATGAAAAAAAGGCCACCCAATAATCTTTTTTATGTGACTTTCCAATATTTTAGCAGTTTTCATAACTATTAGCTGTGTTAAATGTAAAGCTTTTGGATTTTTCCTTGTTAGTAGTATTTCTTTAACTAAAGGAGAAGCTGAGGCCAAAAAGAAAGCTTAAAACTTCATGAGAAGTCCTCTAAACTTCGACATTTCTGTTGTTTTGATAGTGAGAATCCAGGGTTGTGTTTGGATGCTGAAGTGGCCTTAGCAACGGGGCAGTTTCTTGCCCCTAGCAGTCAACAGTCCAGCAGTGCAACATCACGCTACTCTGAATCACGGGGAGAAACTCCATGCTCCTTCAACGATGAAGATGAAGAGGATGAAGAGGAGGATTCTTCCTCCCCAGAATAAGGACAGTAGAAAACGGAATATACAAAATGCTGCTCATAAATATTCTTAATGGGAGCTCCTGTTTGGATTTTACTTAAGTTTCTTGCCTTGGTTTGCACTGTGTTCAGTGAAGCAAAATGGAAGCTTCAAGACAAATTCATCCACAGCTGAAATTGAAAACTTTTTGTAACTGAACACAGAGTGACGTGCAAACAGAGCGAAGTGGTTTTTATCAACTATAACCAAGGAAAAGAACAAAGCCCCTGGAGATTTGGCAAAGTAAACATCAAGTTCACATTTTCCATTTTGGGACATTCTGTCTCAAGTCTCTGTCTTCCCATTATCTTTACCAGATGGAGAAGAAAACAGAGTCAGTCAACAAATGCCAGTTCTTGCATTGTCTTTTGGCTGTGCTACCTTTAGAAAAAGGGGGAGAGAGAGCACGCGTGAATGTGCTAAAATAGCTATTTAAAACTATCTTATATGAAAATTGTTCTAGGGAAAAGGGGCTGTTAGAATGTTTGCTTTTTTCTGTTCAACTTGCTGTATAGAAGATTCTTAAAGTAATATAAATTGCAAGTGATTAAATGAATCTTGAAATAGTTTAAATCCATTTTAGATACTCTAAAAGTAACGATAGTATGTCTCTTTTGAAAGGTTCATATGTTCATTTATACTGCAGACCTAATTTATTATAAATAAGTGATTATTCTTAGCCATTATGAAACAGGATAAAAACAGCAGTATTCTCTGCACCAGCTTTTTCCAAGGAAAGAAAGTTTAAAAATTGTATTTCTAGATTATAGTGTATCCAGTATAGCTTCTCCTTTACTCTTCTGACTTTATAATCCCTGTGATTTTATAGCATGTGTTGGGTTTTTTTTAAAAAAGGCCTCTATGTTAAGGATCTCAGGCAGCATGCTTTCAAGGCAGTATTGTCAAATTCAGGTGGGCAGGTCACATAACTTTTAAAGTCATAGGTTGAGGTTCTTAGGAAAAAAAAAGAAATTTCAACAATACATCATTTCATGTTGTGCATTCTAGTCAGCTTGGATTATGATAGACTAACTTTCTTAAAATGAACTTCTGTTGCACTCACCTTGATGCGCCTTTGAAAAATAGTAGTATCGCACCACTTAAAATAATTTGTGGCTAAAATTACGCAACATGAATCCCATTTGAACTGTTAAATTAGACTTGCAACAGGAGGCTCCGTGTTCTACAGTTGACATCACATCCGATCATAAAGACCTTTTTTTAAAAAAAAAACAAACTTGAACAACAGAGCAAAATACACTGTAGATGTACTCTTCTCGTGGTGTTCTAACATCCAGTATTTCAACTAGTCTCGAAGTCAACTACTTTTAATTAGGTAAATCCAGTTTAAAATAGTGTTACTTCTTTTTAGTTTTTATACTGTATGTAAATAGTTGACCCGTTTCTAAGGAGCAGTGTATTAGCTGTCAGAGCTCAACGACACTGGCTCTTGTTATTTAGTTACGAGATCAGGCAGCTTGTAATACTGATATTTGCTTGAGCAATGGCAGCAAACTTATCCCTTGACTGCTGTGACCATTACTCTAGCACAGCGTGGGGGACGTCCACATGATCTTTTACAGACAAACCTGCACTCAAGCCATTGAGATCCAAAACCACAAAGCCTGAGCTAGTGAGATAAACTGAGGCTCCAGCTAAAAAGCTGCCTGGCTGTTGTACAGGAGTTAGCACACGACCAGCTACATACAGGACAGGTAAAACTGCGAGGAGCGTACAAGCACACCTGCATGTTTGCATTAAAAACTAAAGCATCCAGATTGAACTATCTGTGAAAAGTTTCTAACTCATTCCTGCGTTTGAGGTACAGTTAGGGCGGCACCATTATTGATAGGTATAGCTCTTGACTGAGCAAGTAGAGCTATCTAGCTTACACAAATGAGTTGCAAATGCACAAATTAAAATAATTCTTATATGGCTACCATGTTACTCACCCTCTGGGCAAGACTGTTAAGCCTGTCCTGTGCTCATGGCTCACAGGCAACGGCAGACTGAGGGACCAGACCACCTCACTTCAACCAAATCTGTAACACTACCTCTATATGAAGAAAAGCTTTAGAAATACAAAGTAATATTCTCGCTGAGAGAGTCAATGCACTTGATCGAAGTAGCTCACTTTTGAAATAAGAGGAGGAGAAGGTAACAGATACTCCAGGCATATTACTGTGGAATTGTCAGCTTCATGAATGACATTTCATTTAAACAGATAATTGCTTGTATTCTTAAAAACCCATTGTTTTTTCAAAACCTGTCCTGTCAGCTTTCATTGGAGAGGGCAGATCAAAGATACCTGATATATGCAGGATCCTAAGGAACTCAGGGGGAAACATTTTTTTTTGTTTTTTTTCCCCCCCCCCCCCAATACATTAGGGGCACATTTAACTTTACACTTTCTTCACATTTCCCACTCAAGAGCTGTGTAAAAAGAAAAACCAGCAAAACACTAAACAATTACTGAAGAGGAGCGCTTTGAACTATAATAACCTAGCGAAAAAAGGCTTCCTGCCCAGAAACGGCATGTATTTTATTAGCAGTCGGTGTGCTTTACAATACTTTACAGGAGGAAGCTCTTCGGTGGTATCTTCCTTCCATTGATGTCCATGTCCTTCAAAGCAGCAGGCTGCACAGCTACTTGCTTTCTGGCAAACTTCAAGCTATATCAACTTTAAAACAAAAATAAATAAATAAATCTAGGAGCACATAGCATTTATTTAGGCAGTTGAACCAAGACTTTGAAAGTTATTTTTCCTGAACTAGTTGAATACAAAGGACAAAACAAGTTAGAACATTAAGAAGAGACTTCAAAAGGAAATTCTTTCCTTCAGGATTCTTTGTGCCAAGTTCTCGTTGAGGATGAAGTTCAACTAAAGCACTGTGGTCTTGTGGTTACACTGAAGTCTGGGACCTAGGAGAATTCTGGGCCTTACCCAGCCATAGTCACTCGTGTATGATCTCAGGCAAGCCTTTCAATCATTCTTGTTGATCTTAGTTGGCATATTTGAAAAAAAAGACAAACCACAAAACAAAAACAGGTAAATGCAGGACCTCGCAAACTGCAGCTGTTGCATCTGAACTGAGCTCTGAGCAATTATGAGTAACAGGGGGACTGAGAATATTAAGCAACCACACAGCTCCCACTGAGCTAATGGCAGTAGTTGTGCTCAGTTGCTTCAACACGCAGGCCTTCCCTCCCTCTGAAAGCCAGCAGCAGATACTTTCCGGAATAAAACGGTCATTCGCAAGACTGGTTTTCCCATTTTCTATTCAGTTACCATCATCCTCTCCTGTCTCCTGCAATATCCTTGCCGTTCATTGATATGAAACAAGTAGCGACTGGTACTAGATGGTATCTCTTAGAAGGCAAAGTTCACCTTTAAATTTTCATGCGTGACATGTTTCTGTGTCTTGGAACACTATTTCTTGCTTATACATTCGGAAGGCACTTGGCTGCAAGCAACAGAATGCTGTGTGTAAATGCTTTTATATATATCACAGTAAACAGCTTTATTTCTGGACTTACTTTCTGGTGCTTGAAAAATCTAAGAAGTTTGACTTAGAGAAACTTGTCAGCACCACAAACTAGATGAAAAAATATGAGTGGGAGACAGCTTTTTTCTATTATGTGGAAATGTTTGTGGATTTTGGTTTTTAAAATTGTATTAAAGTGTGCCAGTCTCCTCATTTCAGCACCGGAATTAATGGCAACAATCCACCTAATCTAAGAAAGTGTGTATATTTAAGTAAAGACTAAAGCAAATGATACCATTTTAACTGAAGGTATGATTTTAACTAACTTCGTTACACCTAGTACAAGCCATGCTGTAGATACTTCCATTTTGGTTAACGGGTTTTCTTATGAACATGGCTTGCAAATACACCTAATCCTTTCAAGCTGCTGGAAGTTGCTGAGTACACAGAATACCCACAGAAGGACTTGTGCTGATCAACTAAGGCAGCCTGAAGTAACATCATGTAAAAAGGCCCGATAACCAAATTTTAATCCTTTTTTTTTTCCCCCCCCCCATATGTAAAATGATGCTTGAATTTAGAATTCCACAGTTAAGGTTTTAAATGTCAAGTGCTCTTTCTTCTGACCACATCCACCATTTTAATTCAAGAGCATGGCTGAAACTTAATCACATTTGAACACTGGGCAATACTCATTTTTATAATTAACTGGCTCTTTTCGGCTGAAAATAATCCAGGCAGTTTATTGAGAAGGCTTTGCTTCTAGTGAGTTAAAGACATTTGGGTTTTGGCTTCATTTAAAATGATATAGTATGTAGTAAACAAACCAGAACCAGTTATCTTCTGACTGACCCACCTAATTTCTATCTTTTCATTACAAGAGTCCCTCAGGAACATACGTACTTTAAATAACCAGATACAATGAAGCTGGGAAAAGACTATACGAGCTTTTAAAATTTTCCATTTAAAAAAATTCCAGTAATAGTCATGCTTTGAGGTGACATCCTTCTGCTTACTGCAAGCTTAATTAATCTTAAAGAAAGAAACGCTGCAGTTCAGTTACTCCAAGGCCTGGTATATTTTACGGCTGAAGGCGTCTCAACCGCCAGCGCTGGGAAGCGGTGCCTATTGCGGCATTACTGGTGAACGAGGAGCAGGCGAAGGACCCTTGCTCTGTTCATTGAGTTGCTTTTGGTTTTTAGAATATGTTAGCAGCTCTAAATGCTTAATTGCCTGCTGGCAGGTGTTCACATAACCAAATCCTGGTACCATGAAATTTCCTGAAACTCTCATTCCTTAGCCTTAACCGAGTTCCCAAATCAGATTATTTCTTTCCCATTTAGCTGTCAGAATTTAGTCTGGTGACTGTTGTTAGGAGGCTGTGAGCGACTGTTCTCCCCAGGACCCAGGAATATTGCCCAAAAAAAGCCCCACAACCAGCGTCACTCCCAGTTGCTTATTCCCTCTGCTAAGTATTCCCATCCTTTCAAGTCACCGTAGAGCTGCTCATACAAGTACTTCCTAGCTCGTTCAGTCTAATGCCCCGAGTTGGCATCCGTGGATTCCTAACCCAGTTCGGTGTGGGAATGCTCATAAAAGCAGTCCGACGGTAATAACTGGAGGGGCTGTTCATCGCAGCTGTTTAGAGAGCGCATGTTCATTCTGCATCTCTAATACTCTTACCTTGTCTGGCCTACCCCAAAGATCAGCCAAAACCAAAATGTTTTCTTTCTGCTTGCATCTTTTTTGACAGTACCCAAGAATCCAACATTTAGGATATCCAACATTTAGGATATCCACCTAAGCTGCAGGACACCAAAAATCCTTGCTCAGAATTGGACAGAAGAAACATCTGAGATCTAACCGTTCAAATCCCAGGAGAAAGCCTCCCGCTTGGGAACGATATGGAGCAAATGAATAACTTAATTTTTCCTTTCTCCATGAGAAAAGCAGGCTGACCTGGAGCAGATCAGTATCTGTAGGAGGGCCAGGATAATTCCAAGCAGGTACAGGAACCTCCCGGTAGCCCAGACTTGCATCTCTTCTTAGTATCGTGTATTGGCTGGACTAAGCGGCAACCCTTTAATCTTCTGACTTCTCTAAATGCCAGTCTTAAATACTTAACGCTCTCCAGGCGTAGGTGCTTTAGCTATATGAACGCCATGGGATAGCAGGAAAGAGCCATGTAAAGTGTAAATCCAGTTGTAGATGTAAATCACACTCATCTATGCAGTATATAGGAAACTCATTTTTCCAAGACCAGATGAGTCTTTAACAGCCACTTTTTTTTAGCCTATTCCCGTTACGCAGGCTGAGTGAAACAGAGAAATGAATCCTTA